CTGTGGAGGAGACCATGCCCAACTGTCTTGCCAATTCCGTGAAGCAACTTGCCAGCGTTGCAAGCGGAAGGGGCACATCGCCAAGGTGTGAATTCCCTATCGACACCAGGCAGCCCAAAAATACACAAAGCTGTCAACAGAGGCCAAAACCAGGGGCCTGGCAGAAGTACCCCTGGCAGTCTGAAGGTGACAATAGAGTCACCTACCATACATCAATAAGACAAATCCGCTCTAGGCAGCCCAAAAAGCTGAAAGTCACTGTCCTCATCGAGGACTCTCCATGTGAGATGGAGATTGACACCGGGTCATCACTGACCATAATGCCGTGGTCAGTCCTCAAGCAAGTGATCCCATATTTACAAAATCCTGACATCCGCCTGCATGATTACCAGGGAAACCGGGTCCCCATTGTGAGCCCAGGCACCTTCCGGGTGAACTACAAACACTTCTGTGAAAACCTCCCCATGACGGTGGTCAGGGGCAACCTCCAGAGCCTCATGTCAGCAGATTCCTTCCTAGTACAATACAGCCAGCCAGACCCTGCCATTGGTGTTAACCTGTGATGCTTCCCCTTTTGGTGTTGGTGCTGTCCTCAGCCACCGCACGGCACCAAAGCCCCTATTGCATTTTACTCCAGGACCTTGTCTGCGGTGGAGCGGAACTACAGCCAATTGGACCGCGAGGCTTTGGCTGCAGTGGCTGGAGTAAAAAGGTTCCACGAATATCTCTACGGCCAGGATTTCGAACTTGTTACAGACCACAAACCATTGTCTTCTTCTTCTTCCCCTCCCCCGAGCATGCCATTCCCCTCACAGTGCCTGCAGGGCTCGAGACTTTCCCCTCTTTTCTTTCCCAAGGCACGGGTTTTAACAGAGGGAAAGCAAAAGTGACCAAACAGCGCATGTCCTCCCAGAGCAGCAGCTGGTTGGCTTGCCCTGACAGATCACCTTCTTTTTCTCCCCCTCACCTCATTTTTTAAACTTTAGAGGCAAACAGGCAAAGCCCGAGAGGCACATGTGCATGGGGCATCCTGCCCCCTCCTCTCCACTTTGTTTTTCTGCCCTCCTTTTCACTTTGAAAAGGCCTTTGAACACATGCTCTGGAGGAGCAGGAAAAAACAACCACTCCAGCAGCTCTCCCCTCACTCAACCTGCTGCTCAACCTCCCTCCTGCTTTCACCCAAAGCCTCATGCTGCACCAGGAGGCTGTTTGAATTTCTCTCCCCCCCCCCGTTGTGTACCTTGGCAATAGGACTGTTTCTCTCTGCCGTTTTCCAGCCAAAAAAACATGCAAGCAATGGCAGTGGTGACTGAGGGAACAGGTTCGGGGGCATGGCCAGCCTGGGTCACTGCCGGTTCCAGTGGCCCAGGCCGGCATAACACTACTGGTTCAGCCGAATGGATCCAAACTGGTAGGAACCCACCTCTGGAGCACTGCCTATGTGAAATAATTACTAAAGATATAAGTCAAGAACTTTGATGACATAAGGTCATATTTATTCTTTTACTACCACTACTATTATTACTTGTTATTATTGTTGGCCTACACAGAGAAAGTAACCACTAGTACAGTTTTAAAAATCAATGTGCTGCACATAAATTATGGAAAGTACTACTGTGAAATGTTTTCCAAACTTAGTTAGATTATAAAATGGCACTGAGTTTTTCTTTCACTTCAAAAGTATGTACTGGATGACTATCACTTCCATGTACTTGTTATGGATTATAATGAGTGCCTGAGAAACAGGTTGCTGATTTAAGTAGATTTGTTTTATCTGATTTAGCAGGGATCTTTAACTGAAATCCAATTTAATTATAAACTGCTGAAGAGTTCATCCAATACTAGTATAATTCTGTCTCCCATGGACAAGAATTTCTCAGAGAAAATGATATGGTTAGCTGTAATTCTAATTTTTTTGCAGTGTTTTAGTATGAAAAATGCATCATCATAATCATTTAGAAACTTCAGACCAAGCATAAAATGAATTGCACAAACATGGTTTATATGACTTTTTACAAGTGCCACTAGCAAATTAAATTGCAGCCATAAAGAGTAGAAATAGAATTCCAGCACAACAGCTTCAAGTAAAAAAAATTCATAGTAGTTTATCCTATACACCATATTTCAATAGGGCAAACCTGGTCATAGCCCAGACATATCATATTCCTGAGAAGTCCAAATGATAAGCCATCTCCCCCTCTAGGCACTCAGTATATTTAGGTCACCCAGCATAGTATACTATTTGGTTTGCCCCAAACCCTTTTCAATCAATAAGCTAGGTTTGTTGCCATCCTCATATTGCAGAGGTACCACAAATACTGTCCAGGTTATAATTTGTCTTGCAGAAATGACCTTTGAATTGGGGCTTCTCCTATGGCCTTCATGTAATGCCATACCAGCAACAACTTACAGTCTTAAAATGCATTGAAAGGCACTTAGGAAATGTCATCATTGATTTTAGTCAGAACATCTGGTAAGAAACGAAACTATATATAGTTTATATTCTTTGGTGTTCTGCTTTTCCTTAATGAAACTACATTAAAACATGGCAGCATTTAGTACACTCAAAAGTCAATGTGACTAGGATTAACTGGGGTAAATTGCTATTTTTTATGGGCTTTAACACATTTAGTATTTATGTTCTTCTGGTGACTAAATTGCTATAACATATCTTGAATTAATACTTGAATATTGGTTCAAACAAAGAAAGAAATAATTTTCTCTACTTCTCTTGGCAACATCATGTTAGCAATTGAATTTTCCTTCTAGATCTAATAATCGTGTTGTGTTAATTAATATGACTTCTATTCCAGTTGATGACACTGCTTGTACTGTACTACAGGTTACAAACTTATGTCTGTTTCTTCAAAGTTGAGAAAGGTAGGAAGCTATAGAAGAGATACATCAGAGATTTGACTTCATTAAGTGCAAGTTTACAGGAAAAAAAAGTTGCTTGTCATCTTATCTTATTCCAAAAACAGGGAAAAGAAATTTAGGAGCTTCCTATCATGTTTCCCCCAAAATAAGACCAGGTCTTATTTTCTTTTGACCTCTGAAAAAATTGCTTATTTTGGGGGAGAGGGTGACCGGCCCCTCATGCCTAACAGTGTAACCAGCAGCTTGGTCTGTCTCAAAAAAGTGCAGTGATTGTGGCTGCAAAAGCAGCAGGAGCCACTACGTTCCTCTGCAAAACAGCTTATCAGCTGTGCACTCCTGCAACCACCTCCAAGATGTGTGGCCTTTTTGCAGCTTCAGTCTGCAGATGTCCTCCTTCCCTTGGATCCTGGGGTAGGGATCTCTCTCTCTCTCTCTCTCTCTCTCTCTCTCTCACACACACACACACACACACACACACACACACACACACACACACACACTGTCCTTTCCTTGGGAGATCTGCACAGATGTACTGATTGCAAAGCTGAAGGCTTCAGATATAGCCTTTTGGGGATGTGTGTCTGCACTGTGATCCCAAGTAAAGAATGATAATCAGGAAAAGGGGGGAATTTTGCCTCTTATCCTGTTCTCAGTCTGTGCTGAGCTTCAAAACAGGGTGAGAGGCAGGAAAATTCCCATTCCCCATTTTCAAGCCATTCGCAAAAACGTCCCATTCTGAGCCTTCAGCATATTCCAGGATTGCAACATTGAAAGTTTGGAATAGGGTGTTTTTGCAAATGGCTTGAACATGGGGGGGGGGGATTGTCCTGCCCCTCACCCTATTCTGAAGCTCAGCACAGACTGAACAGAATGAAAAGCAGGAAAATTCCCCCTCCCCATTTTCAAGCATTTCACAAAAACGCCCCATTCTGAGCCTTCAATGTTTCAATCCTAGAAGGCAGTGGGTCACATCAGGACAGTGCCAGCCAGCCAGCCACTTGGCAGCAGACTGCTCTCTTGGCTGGATCTGGCTGCAAGTGGTACTGGCAAGCAACGAGGTGTGTGGCCAGCGCAAAGAACAGAGAGGCGATGGTGGTGACAGGAGAGCCAGTCACAGTGGCATCACCGGGTTGACAGCATGGTGCAGAGTCCTGGGAAGCAAGGCTGGAAGTGTGTGCGCAGCTGCAGGGGTGAACAGATGATGAGCAGTTGTGTTGTGCTGCCACTAGGTCCCATTGCTACCATTGTCTCCCTGTTCTTCATGCCGGCCATGCACCTCATTGCCTGCCAGTGCTGCTTGTGGCCAGAAGAGTGGCCTGCTGACAAGCAGCTGGCCGACACTTTCCTGATGTCCCACCACTGCTGCCACAACCTTGCTCATCATTGGACTCGCCAGCTCCAATGGTTGCAGTTCCATGCCCCTCCCCCACATATTGGGAGCCTTGGATCAGGACTTGACAAGGGGCCCTCAGCTGTGAGGTTGCCTGGTGCCGCAGCAGGGCTAGGGCTGGTAAGAGTGTGCAAGAAGCATCTCCGTGCATCCAGAGAGATAGAATGAGAGGCAGTTCTCAATCAGCTCAGCTGATCTGCAGGTCATGATTAAGGGGCCCAGCTGCCACTAAATGACCAGGAAAGGGAAGGGCAGCCTCCTGTGCTAGTCATTTTTGGGGGAGGTCTTATTTTCAGGGGAGGTCTTATTTTGGGGGAGACATGGTCTATCACTCCAAATGCTTTGAGGTGCTGTTGCAAGTTTCCATTAAAATAATCCAATATTCTGTGATATAAACTTTTCCTGAGATATGGATTGCAGAATTCATAGCTGTATTTGAGTCATAATTATATGTTGGCTACTTCAGTCAAGTAGCAAGTCCTTAAGATATGCAGATATTTTAGCCATCTCAGCTAAGTCTGTTACTTTCAATGTCCATTCTTGAATAGTAGGCAAATCTTCCTTCTTCCGGTATTGTGCCACCAACAATCTAGCTGCNAGATGTCATTGTTGGAGTGACAAGCACTAAGCCAGTTGGAAAACTGCCCTCCAGTAATATTGTTACAAGATTGAAGTTGGGCAAATCCTTTAGCAAACACCTTCGCATATAAGGGCATGGATGAAGCTGAAGAACATGCTTCTCACCGTCAACAGGAGAAGAGCTCAGGTTGGCTTGGAAGCAGAAGGAGATTTCCTGTCCGCCAGCCCATCCAGGCTCCAAAATGATCCAAGCTCTCTTGGTAACTATATGCTTAGTGGTTTTTCCATATCAAGGTAAGATGTTTTCTTTGGTTTCCTTCTTCAAATTCTTACTGCTAAAAGACTATGGCACCCAACAAGTTTCTATGGTTTTTCTTTTGATACTTAACCAAAATTTGCTCCACTTCAGTTTCAACAGACTGAGCAAAAGAGTTCTTGCTCTCAAAGATCACATTTGTTGTAAAGTTATATCGATGTTTTTTTGGTATTTGTTAAATTTTGTTAAGATAATAGATGCTAAGAAAGAAAAGTCCTAATATCCTCAGAAGAAAATCATATTCAATTTGAAAAAAGATTTTCCAATAATGGGAGTAAAAGAATTAGAAGACTGAAGAGGAGAGAGAGAGACAGAGTGTTGTGGCAAGAAACGTTCAGGAAACAAAATGTTAATAATATAGTATGGTTTACTGAATTGTGTGAATCAGACTATTGTAATTTATAGTTTCTCATGTATGCTTATCACTCAGTGCACAAACTTGCACATTCAGTGAGATTTGCCCAAATCAATGCCTCTAGATAGTCTCCCAGCTGTCAAACATCATTCAGCAAATTGCATACCCAAAGAAAACCTGGATTTGTGTAGTCTCTTCCAATAGAAAAAGATTCCATGCTTCACTGATAATTGAGTAACAAACTGAGTTGTGAATGTGAGAATAGTCGAATAACATCCCAAAGTAATACAAACCTTTCTTCTATACCCTCCCTTACAAAGGAAGCTCTATAATCCTGGAATCTGGGAATGTTAATGATTATGAAGTAGTGTATCCACAAAAAGTCCCCGCATTGCCCAAAAGAGGAGTTCAGAATGCTGAGCCGGAGGTAAGAAAAGGATCTCAACACATTACTTCTTGTCAGCCAACAGAGTTTTTGGTATTCCTTTGCTGCCATGTAATGATTACCTGGATTTTTGCATTACAATCTATGTGCCTGATTAATTAATTAATTCATGCATACAAACATTCAACACATTTATATGGTGCCCAATTCATACAAAATTGAGGAGACTCCTGATAACTTAGCCCAGAATTTCCTAATATTAATTGACTACTATAGCTAATAAAGTATTGGGAAACACCCAGCCCTATAGGAAAGAGGGATCGAGCAGGGAATTAGCCGTGAGTCATTTCATAGCTGCAATAGATCTTACTCATCTCTTTTCTCTCTCTCCATTAAATCTTATCTATCTGTTCTGAAGAGAAGGGGAAGTTGTGTTTCTAGGTGAAGATGGTATAGTAGTTATAACTCAAGGTTAATACTAAGAACCAGATTCAAGACCATCACTGGATGACTTTCAAGCCAGTCTCTCTGTCCCAGCCTACCCTCATTCACCAAGATGTTCAATTTGAGAATGAGATCTTGAACTTATGCAGGAACGTTTAATTTAACTTAAGATTTTATAGTGCCCTTCAATCACTAGATTAAATACTCTAGATCTAATAAATAATTTGGCCCAGATCTCCATTTGACACAGGCGTGGAATTGTTAAGAAGGTACACATTTTATTTGCCTATTTTTAAAAATAAACTCCGAACTCTTTGCATTTCAGACCAAGTATGAAGATACAATGCAATATGAATTTAAAGTGAATGGAGAGCCAGTGGTCCTTCACCTAGAAAGAAATAANTTTTCTCTATGCTTTCTGTATTATTTCCACATCCCTGCCAGGAGAAAGGCTGAATGTCAGAGTGTATATTTATTATTACAGGTTCTATACACGGATGTGATTTACTGTGCTGGATTTTGTGCTTGTTTTTCATGGATTAGGACCCTTTCCTTTACCGGAACTCTTAATTCTTCCAAAGCTCCTGATTAGATTAAAAGATCATTAAGACAAACGGAGGCCATAAGGAGGAAGATCAGTGAAATGCCATCACAAGTCATGTGAAAGTTTTCTAAAGGTAAAGGTGGGCAATGTCACTTAAGGCTATATGGAAAAGGACAAAGAAAAGTTCTCTTATTCTGACTTTGTCTTTTGATCCATTGCAGTAAATGAAGATTGCCAAGTCTTTTGAAACAAGGGGACACCATGCGTGGTAAATAGCTACAAAGTTCAGAAATAAATGCTCTTGGAAGACAAACATGAAGAAGAGCTAAACTCCAATGGGTTCATTTCAAAAGAAATAGGTTATGAAGAAACAGATCTCAATGCAATATTCTTTACAAACCTTCTCTTTGCACACCTACCAGGAACAAAAAGATCTGTACTTAACAACATACACTGGATTGGACTTCTGGCCCATTAAATCCAGCAGTCTGTTTTCATTATAGTCACCAACTGCACAAGTAAGTGCAGAAGAAACTCTTTGTTGTCCCAGCAGATGGCTTTCAGTCATTCTGCCTTCAAGGCTAACAAATGATTATTTCCATGACTTCCATGAATTGGTTTAACCCTTTTCTGGGGCGGGGGGAGTGAAGAGGGGATTGACTTACTAAAGAGAGACCCAACCTAGAAGTAAGGACAACTTTTCTGATGGGAAGAATAATTAATCAATGGAATAGTTTGTCCCCCTCATTTGTAGGTGCTCCATCATTGGAGGTTTTCAAAAAATAAACTGGTCAACCCCATTTATACTTATTAAACTTTGCAAAGTTATTAGAAAGCATATTTACTGTATGTGCTGAACTCTGTGATTCAGTTCATTGCTAATACAAATCGCCATCAAAAAGCATGTGTAACAAACAAAGGTGCACCCTTTTATACATTTGGATATTTTAGATGAAAGTCTGAGATAAAAAAACCATTAAAGGCAGGTGCATATTTGCAGAAGCATGAAGACACTGTAACAATGGTTTATCATTTTCCTCGCCTTGATCAGAAAGGTTAAATTCAGCATAAGATGTGGATGGAGGTACTTTTATAGCTCTTCACGTAATGTTAATTAATTTGGTGTCCTTGCAAGAGAGGACTTCTGGTAAGGGCAGAAGGTTTGAAAGAGAATACATTAGCCACCAATGTGAATTTAAAGGCTCACATACCTCCTTGTATCTAAGTTAAGAAAAGGTTGTTTTTTTCTTTGATTTCTTGGAATGAAGCTGCTGTTTCTTCTATCGTGGCTTCTCTTTCCCCCAAATTGCCAGAGTAGTCAAAAGCAGATCTTTCTTTTTTTCTTTTTCATTCACCAAAGATTTCTGTGTTGTCTTTGATAGGAGGTTGGGTTCTGCCCCCTTTTTCACACTCATCTTTATTGTGGTCTCATAGATATTTTTGAGGTGGAGACAAAAGGAGAGATTTAAAGGGGAAAGTGGTTCTCTTAAAGCAATTGAAATGATTCATTCTGCTCTGTGATTCATTCATTTCTGTTCAAAAGCCCCTTTTCAGAATAACACATTTGGAAGGGATCATGGAGATCTTTTAGTCCAGCCTCAAACAGGGGTCCCCACACCATTCCTGACAAACAACTGTCCAATTACTTCTGAAAAACTTCCAGTGTTGGAGGATTTCTCAAAGGAAGCCATTCCACTGACTTTTCTCACTTTGAATGCATATTACTGCAGCTGACATTCAAACCACCATTTCATCAATCTCCTGTTTCAGAAAATGGAGGGGCTGGCAGAAGAATTACATTAAGAGACAACAAAAGTTCTTGTTTTTTCTTACAAACTAAAAAAAAATCTATTATTGCATAAAGGGTTTTCCACCCTGGAGTGAAGGCAGGGATCACTTTGGTAGATGCATTGACATGGATTCAGTCTTTCCCACAATAACACCAACATTTCTCAGAGGCTACTGAAATGATAATACTGGATTCTACTGCACTAGTGAAACCACACTTGAAATATTATATTTAATTCTGGTCACCATGATACAAAAAATATGATGAGATGAGATGACAGCAACAAAGATGATAAGGAGTCTGGACACTAAAACATATGATGAAAAAAGAGGGACGTCCATATGTCCTGTCTAACAAAGAGGAAGACTATGGGTGATGATAGCATCTTCCAGTACTTGAGGGGCTGTCACGGAGAAGGGGGAGTCAATTTATTCTTCCAAGCAGCTGAAGGCTGGACAAGAAGTAACAAGTGGAAGGTCATTAAAAAGAGATTCAATGTGGAACTAAGGATAAATTTTCTGATAGTGAGAACGATTAATCGGTGGAACAATTTGCTTCCTGAAGTTGTAGGTGCTCCATCACTGGAGGTTTTCAAAGAAGAGATTGGACATTTGCCTCTCATGGAATAGGGTCCCCTGCCTTGGGCTAGAAGGCTTCCCCTGGCTCTTTTGAAGGCAAAATCAGCTGGCCAGTGTGCACATGGAGGGCCAGGGGAGGCCATTTTCACCCTCCCTAGGCTTCAGGATTGTTCACCATCCTCCTTCAATTTTAGTTTAAAGTCCTTCTAATAAGTTAAGCCGGTCATTTTCTGAAAACATTCTTCCCTATGTTTATAAGGTGCATCCCATGCTTTGCCAAAAGCCCATCATGTATTGTGGACTATCATCCAGGAATCCAAAGTTTAACCAGTGGTTCACTTCGAGAATCTTTTGTTCATTTATACCCCAACTTTCATCTCAAATTAATTAATCATCTATAGAATAAAAATATTTGCAAATCTTTAGCCAAATATCAGTCATTGTGAAACAACATTACTGCAACAACTTTTCATAATGATGGCAAGAATGGACTATCCTTTGTGCTCTATATGAATACAAAGACTCTAATCCTATATGAAGAGGAAGAATGATATATTAGAGGGGGAAAAAAGAAAAAGATGAGAGGGATCGGGAATATAGATTTCCCATGAAATTTTAGCTTTTACCCCCAGTCACTACTTTGTCAAGTCTTGCCAATGATGGGTTGCAACTATTTTTACTACTGGTTCGGCACGCATCCATGCATGCTCATGAGCATGCACAATGCTTCTGTGCATGTGCAGAAGAGTCCAAACGGGTGGGCAGGGCCTGATAGGTCTAGATTTTCTGGATCTATTTTTTTTTCTTTCTTTGAAGATGGGAATCACATCAAGTCTTTTCCAGTCCTCTGGCAGTTCCCCAGTGCTCCAGGATCTCTGAAAGATATAGTTCAGTGGTTCTGAGATCTNTATTTTTAAAAATAAACTCTGAACTCTTTGCTTTTCAGACCAACTATGAAGATACAATGCAATATGAATTTAAAGTGAATGGAGCGCCAGTGGTCCTTCACCTAGAAAGAAATAAGTATCTTAACTCAGAAGTTCTCTTAACTTTACTAGAACTAGAGCTAAAAGAAAGTGTACCATTTTTATTACCCCAAAACATCACCATTGAAATTAGTATGGCTGTCACTATACTGTAAACATTGGAAGTCTCTGAAGTCCTAGTGCAATTTAATGTTAGTTTTAAGACCGAGATACATAGCTGGTGCATTGAGAGTGACTGCCTGGCTTTAATTTTACAATGCATTTACTTTTGAGCAACCTATATCGATAAGATTCTATTTTGCCTCTGGATGACTGAGAATCTCCATAGACCATTCTATATGTGCCTCTAAATGTATAATGCCTTTATTGTTAAGTACAGGCTATAAAGGAATTCCCCTATATATGGGCATTTCTGTGTCACTTTATCTTGTACCACCGGAGATATTTCATACTAAATTCTAAGGTGTGCTTTAGAAGTTCTAGCGCCCCCTTTTGTTTTGTTTAAATATGAAGGCTATCCAGATTTCAAGAGCAGCATCAGAATGATCACATTTTGGCATGGAAGCCAAGCAGGGCTAGAAGTGGAAGACTAGCCAGGAACATGTAGATTGGAAAAAGAGAAGGCAATGCCAGAAGGCATAATTGTGACACTAGGAATGGAAAGTGACTATATATTGGTTAAAAAGTTCAAGGCACATGCTTCTTTTTAAAGCTTCAAGGGATCAATTTCTTTGAGGATTCTTCATTTTATTTTTAAGTAAATAGAGCTATGCAGCTTTCCTTAATAGACAAAGCAGTTTCATCGAATTGTTGCATAGATCAGAAGAATAAAAAGAAGAGGCAATACAAAATGTCTTCTGGTCAATCATACCACCTCTGAGTCTCGGTGAAGAAAAGTCCACAGCTTCCTTGATGCAAATCACTTTCCTTTGGCAAATCTAGTACGTTCAGCATTCCTTTTAAATAGGTATCCTCTTGAGATTGAAATTCCTGCTCCTTTCCTTTGATACCAAACAATATAAGGTTAAAATACCATACTTGTAGACTTACTATAAAATTATCTCTGCCCTACTTAATTCCTAACATAGATATTCATTTTTTTAAAATTCTTTCCAGAGGACTTTTTTCCAAAGATTACACCGAGACTCATTATTCCCCTGATGGCAGAGAAATTACAACAAGCCTTCCGGTTGAGGTAATATCCAGAGTGTCTTACTTTTAGGAAATAAATTAAGAGGAATATTTGAGCACTAATATTCCAAATGTGTAAGTTCCAGAAAAGGCTACTCAAACAAGGACTGTACATCTGTAAAGTATCTTATACT